GTTCTGATTTCAGAAGCTACTTCTGTTGAAAGCAGCAAGACATTTAAAATTATTTAAGAAGAAGGACATACTGGGGCACCTAGGTGGCTCAGTCGATTGAGCATCTGACTTCGGATCAGGTCATGATCTCACAGTTCATGAGTTCGAGCCCCGCGTCGGGCTAGCTGATGTCAGCACAGCAGTTCTTTTTCAGATCCTCTGTCCCCTTGCTCTCTCTAACCACCCCGCCCCCCACCGCCCTCTCTCAGAATTAAATAAATATTAAAAAAAAGAAGAATGACATACTACAAACATCAGTGAACTAATCTTCAGTTGATGGGTCACCATAGATTTATCTTCTGATAACTTTTAAATTTGTGTCTTCTAGGATTACTGGGTAATATTCATAGTAATACCAACAAAGATAAAAAGATTTTCTCCTCTTAAAAATGATCATACATCTGTTTTTAAAAACTGATCTGAGTGTTTCACTAAAGCCAAGAAACGAGCCAAACAAAAACTATCAACAATGAAACAAGCGTGGGCCAGGTGTATCTACTGGGAAAACCCCAAGTCACTATTTCCAACCAAATCAGAAAGAACAGTGACAGTTAAAACTCCCCAGCTGCCTCGTCTGAGTGTTGTAGATGACTCGGGTTGTGAACAGATGGAGAAAGAAGGGAATACTGGATTTAAATGTGAAATTTGGTTTGGGGTTGAGGGTTCCCGCTTTTACTTCCATGTAACTGATGCCTGGGTTTTATTTATTAATGTGCTGATTTTAAGTGGGTCAAACAAAGTAGAAACTTTTCTGGCCACTCTGTGTTTTACATATACTATTTACTCACAGGTATTTGTTTATTCATATGTACACTTAAGTTTTATTTAACATTTCTATCTGTCCCTGTAAGGTTCTTAGCTAGGACTGCTGAAGTTTAAAAAAAGAACCAGTATTTATTGAGGGTTTAAAATGTACCAGGATCTATTCTAAGTGCTTCATATAGATTTCTTCAGTTAACTTTTCCAGTAGGTCAGTTCTCGGAGGTCAGCATTACCATGATTCCCATTTTATGGAGAGAAAACTGAGGCAAAGGGTTACACGGCTAAGCTTCTCGCTCAGGCAGCCTGACCTCAGAGTTTGCATTCTTCACCATTAACTTCTCCTCCGGAACCTTCCAAGTCACCAGAGTAAACTGCTGTGGTCCAGCCTCTCAGTTCTCCTCCTACAAGCAATCATCCCGAGACTGGTTCCCGAGCGTTGGTCACGTGCAGGAACTGAGCTAGAATGGGCTCCTGAGTCTGTCACTCGGGATAAGGGCGACCACACACCCGGGTGTGAGGGCCAGCCCCGTCTTTCTGGCTGTGACCCTCAACAGGCTACATAAGCCCTTTATGCCACTTTGACGTCACAGGGACAGTAATGCTGCCTCGGAGAGAAAGGGTGACAGTGGCACAGAAATACTATGATCGTATAGTCCCTGCCCTGGAGAGACCGGGGCGGCCGGAGGGGGAGTCATGTGAATAATTACAGACTAGTACAGAAGGTTCTAGAAAAGAGAACTGCTCAAAATTATGTTGGGTCCTGGGGGCTGTGGGAGAAGAAATGGGAGTCAAACTGCAGGGAGGCGTCTAACGAAAGCGGAGTCCTGGGCCTAAAGTTCTGCAAGTTTATTCTGAACACTGTGCTCAGTGCAAATGAAGACGTTTTGTCGGAGGTGGACTAGCTCATGTGTACTGAGCACCTGCAGTGTGTGTGCCAGGCTGTGCAGGAGGGTCTCCCACGTGCCCGCCGTCGTCTAGTGTGAGCACTCGGAGGCAACATTGCAGGTGGGTATGATGAGAGCTCAGTGTTCTTCCGCATCTGAATAGGGGTGACTGTTATCACTCAGGTGACGGGCCAGAGCATGGGCCCTACGGGAATTTGTACTGCGGGGACGCTGAAAGTCACAGTGCGAAACTGATAACTTTACACGCTGTGAGCTAGAAAGAATTAATGTGCATGTTTACACATTACAGAGCAATGAGAGCCTAGGTTTTACGTGTCCTTTTCTCATTGCTTCTCGCTCTAATCTTCCTCCTGCGCTCCAAACGTCTACTGACTGTTTTGCGATAGCAAACTTATACTTCCCATCCGGAGCTGAAGGCTGCTTCTGCCCTTGTGTTCCCTGACTCAGTTAAAGCAGCTGGCGCCACCCAGCAACTCACCTGGTTTCCCCAGAGGGAAATGTGGGGGCTGTTTTCTGAGCCACCATGTCCTCTGTGTGGGTACGTCCTGAGAGCTCCTTTCTCTTTCTCCAGGCTCCCTGCTCATGATGACCCTCCCATGCCTGACTGGCGGTGACTGTCTTCCTCTGGTCTCTTTGTCTCTATTATAGTCCCTCCATCTATCGATCACCCACAAGGCGGATCCACTTCCCACTCTTTGAAGACTCAAGTATGATTATTCCTCTACTTGAAACTTGCAGTGGCTCCCTAGTGCCCACGAGATGAAGGTCAAGGGCACTGGCGTGGCATATTTAGGGCTTACACTACCTGGCCCTGTCCTACCTCTTTAGCAGCAGTAGCAGCAGCTGACGCTGGCCAGTCACTTATTGTAGCAGCTTCGGACACCTGCCCTGTCCTACTACTTTGGACCCAATCTTCCCAATGCTGGGTGTTTCCCAGGGCCCATCTTCAAACACAGAATGTGGAATTCCCATCCACTTATATATATCCAGTGGTATCATACTTTCTCAAATCCATTTTAGAGAGTCATTCCTACCAGATTATTATATATTTTCTGTCTTCTCCTCTGGACTTTCACCAAAATTTAAAAGCACCATGGCTAAGAAATAATAAAAGACTAGAAGTGCACCTAAACTTGGATGCCTTTAAATCAATGGTTCCATCACCTGACGGGGTCAATCCATACAGCCTTAGCCCCCTCTATCCCCCTCCACTGCCTTGCCCAGGGACCTCAGAAGCTAGCCTCACTAATGCTGGTGAACACGATCTGTGGGCAAAGTTTCCTCATCCAATGATGGGATTCACTGCACGGTCCTCTAGATTGGTTACACTTTCTGTTGAACAGATAAATCCAATGGCCTATCTGCTGCATAACGTAAAGATAATTATCTCTGTATTTTTTGCTTTTAGAAGCACGTTATTCTTCAATCAAAGATAATCAGCACCTAACTGAGTTTTCAGGGACAATTCCAAATGTACTTTGTTAAACGGAACAGCTCTTGTTAACAAAAATAATCGTGAATGAAAAGCAAATTATTTTTATTTGGCATGTAAACAAAATTATAATGCTGATATTGGTAAAGATAAGAACAATTCTACTCTGCTTCATTAATGTACATAAGGCCTTTATCAGATCCTTTGCAATTTATCTCTGAAGTATAATTGGAGCTTAAAAATAAAGAAAGGAGAAAGTTTAGTTACTAGCATTAGATTGACCCATTTAGGAGATGACTTGTACAATCCAAATGACTGCTCCTGATATACTAATGTCTATTAGAAAAGAATGCTTAAAAAAAAATATATATATAAGTATTATGAAAGCTGCTTAAGGTTCAGTGTACTTGGTGTTTTGGAATAATTTACCTATTTCCAAATATGTGATCTGCCTCAGTGTTGAAATCAGGGCCTAAGTTCCAATAATCATATGATATAAACAAATCAGCTGACTGGCCTGGGGTAGGACGTTATCATCATTAATGACTTTTTTAAAGCTAAGTTTTGGGGCATCTGGGTGGCTCAGTTCGCTGAGCGTCTGACCTCAGCTCAAGTCATGATCTCACAGTCTGTGAGTTCAGGCCCCGCGTCGGGCTCTGTGCTGGGCTGACAGCTCAGAGCCTGGAGCCTGCTTCGGATACTGTGTCTCCCTTTCTCTACCCCTCCCCTGCTCATGCTCTGTCTTTCTCTCTCTTAGAAATAAATAAACGTTAAAAATTAAAAAAAAAAAAAGTTTCGAGTCTAGAAAAACATCTTAACAATTTTAACATGTGTTCAAAGATAAAAAGTTAAAAACCCCTTTAACACCGATTGGATAAAAGTTCAAATCGCTTTCTAGTCTAAACAAGACTCTTCCATTTATTAAAGACCCAGTGTGGATACATGCTAGCAAACTGTCTTTCTGCAATTTGAAAGGGAACACTTTTTTTTTTAAATAGCAATTATTTTTTATTTAAAGTTTAAAAGGTAGGGCCAAACTCTAATCCCATATAGGCCCGTGGGCGTTCTCAGCAGGATTCTCATCCTATGCCATCTGATAATAATAGATCACTCCCTCTTGTTTATTTTAAGAACTCCCCCAGCAAGATGGGGTTCGCATCAACGTACTTAGATATTGTGAGTAGAACTCGCGGTTGCAGAGACGGCACATTCTTAAATTTGTTTATGGTCATGTGGATATGAAATGGCAAGTCAGATGGGTATCTTAGATGTTGCCCAACATCTGGGACCTCAACAACTTTCTGGCTATGATATTAAAATAGAAAAACCTTTGCCGAGCATTAACCTATCATTACACGGAGTAAATGGCATGGCAGTACAACCTAATTAGCAGTGTAGCTTGCATCTATAAAATAGAATTAGCACTACTGCTCTTTTTTTTTATTATTAGTTTGTGTTTCTAGAAAGGTGTGACCTTATCTGTAAGGTTCTATTCATTTATGCCCATTTACAAAGGATTTAATTATGTTCTTTTAGCTCTCTGCACTGAGGAAATTGAAAACGGCCACTTCAGAATTGAAACTGGTAAAGAAATTAGTGAGCAGGTTATTTACCCCATCACCCTCCTTCTCTCAGCGATAAAGAACGGAAACCCGTTCAAATAAATAAGGTAGAAGATTTTCGGGAGAGGAAAATCAAGGCGAGGAAATGATTAATAGTCTTCCTTTCCTCTTTCCCACGCGTCTTTTGCAAGTTTCTCTAGTTTTCTGGGGCAGGGCGAGTTCAGGGGAAAGTGTAGTAAGACGGTAAAACCCTGCAAGTTATGTCACATTCGTGTCAGCAGCCAGAAAACATCGACTTACATCTGAGGCCGGCGACTCCAGGACAATGCCGAATCCTAGGACGCGGCTGTCCCCAGGGGACGGGTGCTCGGCCGCCGGGGCACCGGACTGCTCAGAGGCCACTGCTGTCTTCTCGGCTCCTAACACGCCGGCCTTCTGTTTTGCGGGCAGAGGCTCAACAGTCTTTGGGGGCACTTTTTTCTTTTTATTTCTCTTGCGCGAGACCGCGGCTCGCTGGGAGCATATGAGGGAAATCGGGGGTTGTTGTCTGTTTTGGGCTCCAGCTGCGAAGAACAAACAGAAATGGGGTACAGACACCTGAGTCTCACTGAGGAAAAGTTATCACCCCTCTGTCTACACGGCCCAGAACACTGGCACCGAAATGGAGTTCAGTCAAGGAGGCAGGCCAAGGTCAATCCCCTGCTAGACCTGCAGGGCACCAACTGATGTCTCTGGAGCACTTTAAAGTGCGACACGCGGAGAAGCAGCTCAGACAAAGCCGTGTCCCTGCCGCTGGTAAATCACAGTTACTGCTGCTGCTGTGTTCCGTGGAAGAAAGGGATTCTGAGCCGTAGGAGAACAGCTGAGCGTGATTTTACAAGTCGCAGCATATTTGTCTATAAAGGGGAACTCAGAACTTAAGGTAAGTCACACTCAGGAACATTCCGATTGTCCCTTGAGGATAAAATGATCATCAGTGGTGAGCAACCTACAGGCACCAACACTGACCAAGACTGAGGCGATGGTGATCATTTATTAAAGAATCAGTGTGGGATGATTAGCATGCACGCGGGCAAAAGCCCGCTAGTCATTTATCAGGGCCAGTTACCCCTTCCTCACAAACCAGTGTTGTCGCACACAGCTTCCGCCATGGCACCACACTACTGGATTCTGACCAGGCTCCTCGCCACACCTGGGTTTTGGGGGGCTGAAAAAGCAGGAATGATACAGCTCTGCTCAAGTCGAGAAGACTAGTAAAATCCAGAAACAGGTTGAGTTCCGGAGATGAAAAGCACTGAGCCAGGACCAAGTACTAGCACTGAATACACACTTAAGGAAACCAAGGATGGTAATTATAGTTTTCACAGATGTACGTTGGCAAGTAATGTTTGTTAACCATTTAAAAATATTCTGATGGAAAGTGTAATAGAAAAATATGGCATCATTATTTAAATCCTCATGTATCAATATGGCTTACTAAATATGATCACAGGATATGCCTGCCTTTTCACAGAAATAAGCTGAATGAAAACTAAAGATCTTTACATGCACATAAATATGGACCATCTCCTATCAGTTTGCAAATAAAGGATATATATACTTTGAACTTGGTATTTGCATTTCCCAGACTGGCAAGAAATTTCTAAGTATCAGAAACGAACTACTTGGGGTGCCTGGCTGGCTCAGTTGGTGGAGTGTGCGACTTCTGAACCTGGGGTTATAAATTCGAATCCTACACTGGGTTTACAGATTACTTAAAAAAATAAAATAACAAGAAATGAGATACTTGCACTGCATCGGAGCACTGAAAAGGTTTTTAGCCACCTGAGCAGTAATTAGTCTAATTCACTGCTGCTTGACCTTGGCTGCAAGTTAGAATCACCCGGGAGCTTTTAAAAAAAGTCAGTGCCTCATAGCCTCACCCCAGACTAAGTGAGTTGGAATTTGCAGGGTGGTTCCCCGGCACTGAGATTTTTTTTTTAAAAGCTTCTCGAGTGATCCACTGAGCAAGCCTGAGGAAAGAACTTTTCTCTGTTCTCCAGATTTTCACCCAAGGCTAGATGTCCATGCCCAAAGTTAAATGGACAGTGGAAGCAAAATAATAATAATAATAATAATAATAAGCCTCACTATTCTAAATTAAAAGTGAAAATACTTTTGGTTTAAAGTATTTAAACACAGTCACTGAGTTTTTCTTCTCCGTTTGCAAGTCTAGACAGAGCCACAGTCTCCTGTATCCAGACCTTATCGCTTCATCTTACTCCTTGCTTTTTCTCCCTGAAGTAAAGGCGAAACTTCCTAAATATAACTTAAGTCTAAGTTTTATAGGCAATAAACCTTAAGTAAATCTACCCACACAATGCAAATTCTTAAGTTTAAGGAAATGAAAGGGTAATTTTTGCAGTTTATCCTTTCTGCTAGCGGACAGCCCCGGCATCGTTTACCGCCCTAATCTACAGAGGCTCAGAAAGGGAAACACAGTGACAAAGTGGCATTTACTTAATAGATTCCAAAAGGGCTTCGGTCAAGGATTTAGATGGTTGCAATTTGTAGTTTCTCATTTCAGTAGTAAGGAGCTTAAGTAACAAAATAAATCATCACAGTTTCATATGCATATTTTCTTAACTGCTAACAGATTCTTCCTCGGAGAAAAGAATCTGTGCATCATGAAGGGACCTTCCTTGCTGAGCTCCTTGCCGGGGAGATGTTCCTTCCGCCGCAGGGTCAAGGAGAAGATGGGTTACTGTGGAGGATCAGGGGGAGTTGCCTGCTCACTGGCCCGACCAAAATGCTGTTCTTTCCTTGGGCTAAAACCGAATTCACAGGAAATCAGATGGTGCTCTTCAGAGGGCCTTTTGCTCACCTTATTTTCATGTGCTCTTGGGTGATCGGTGTGTCTAAATATTAAGCTTTTTATACCCAAACCACATCGCTGAATATTAAAATTTTACTAGAATTCACTGCATGGCACCAGGTGCCATTTCTGAGTGAAGACCTTCCTGAGTTACAGGGGCGGGGTGGCAATGCAGGTCACATACAACTGTGCTATTTCCGCTCAAGGAGTTTTCCCTCCCCAGCGGAGGCCTTCATGAAGTGATTTATTATTTTCTGTGCCTGTGACAAAAAAGTTCCGTTCCCCGCCACCCCCCCCCCCGCCCCCCATCTGTGGAGATTAGAAACCGCAGCCTGCTGTCATGGTGCCCCAGACGTTGACGAACGGCTCCTGGTCTCCAGAACACTAGAGCCTGTGTGCGGCTTCACAGAGTTCGTTTCGTTTGCTAAGCCCTCCTGTCTGGGCAAGAGTCCCGCGAGTTAGATATAAATGCTGCAGTTACAGATGAGAAATCAGGGTGCAGAGAAGCCACACAGCTTTGCTGGGAGGGCTGGGACTCTGACCCCGACCCTCAGACGCCCTGCTCCTTCATTCCCCAGCTCCGCCGACACCAGCGAGAACAAGAGAGGCGTCGTGGTGTCGTGTAAATCAAGAAGACAAGACATGAGGGGTCTTGGAGCTTCCACATCCTGAATATTCATCCAGGAGATGGGCCAGAGGCAGGAGCTGAGGGCGCCCGTGCTCCTGAATGTCCCCGCGGGGAGAGCCCACGCTCCTGAGAGGCCCCCCGCCCAGCCCCGGCACTTAGGCAACAGTGCATGGTGACTCCCTACTGTCACGGCGAGCCCCAGAGGGGACGGGGCGGTCGTGGGGGTTGGCGACACGCACGGGCCCCCCACACAGAGCACTTCAGGAGGTAGGGGGAGTCAGCCTCACGTTCTTTCTTGATGTGAACTTCCCTGTCGACTCACATTAGGAAAGGGAGCTGGAGAACCATGCCCACCTTCAAGTGTGATCGTTTCAAAATTCCAGGAACTGACATTTGTGAAGTAGTAGGGGTGAGGGCGGGAACGACATGGAGCACACGTACATTGGCGCAGGAGAAGCCGGGTTAGCAATAACAAATCTGCTAGATCTGCTGAAGGAAAAATGTGTTGTAGACAAAGCTGAGAAAACGGACGCTTGGAAAAGCGTGGCAAGACAGCGAGGTGGGAGGAGAGCTAGCCACTGAAAGCAAAACAAACATCCCGACAGAAGATGTCAGGTACGCACGACAATCGGGGGACCCCATCCCAGGCCTGGTGTCTGTACCTGCTTGAATTTGCATTAATTTCCGCATAGTCCTGAGCTCCTGGAGGATGGCCTGCAAGGTCGACTGGCAGTTACACGTGCAGCAGTTTGCTCCACCTGACGAATTCACTGCTGGAAGTTCTCCTGAGCATCAGAGAGAAGAATGGCATACTCCGAACGTCAACAGTGCAATTATAAAGAGGAAAAATAAAAGGCATCTTTATAGCATTTGGAAGCATGTAAGGAAAACGTACCTAATAACTGTTACCGTCTAATTGCTGGGGTCTGACTTTAGCTAACGACTCAGGCTTCTGCACCGTTAGGTGCGTGCCTGCACATGCGCCCGTGGTGCGCCCACGACGCGCTGTGGGCAGGCCTCCCCAGTGCCAGATCAGTGCCTCCCAGGTCACACCCCCATTCAAGTTCACTAGAAATACAATGCTGCACAGAAACGCAGGCTCTGAGAATAGCCTTAGCAAAAACCTTGTCGCACGTTATACATGTTCACGTTAAAAATTAAATGTGTCTACGGGATGCCTGGGGTTAAGCATCTGACTTCAGCTCAGGTCATGATCTAACGGCTCATGGGTTCAAGCCTCGTGTCAGGCTCTGTGCTCACAGCTCAGAGCCTGGAATCTGCTTTGGATTCTGTGTCTCCCTCTCTCTCTCTGCCCTTCTCTGCTAATGCACTCTCACTCTCTCAAAAATGAATACACATTAAAAAAATTAAATGTGTCTATTAAAAAATAGTTTCGTAGTATGAAGCATGTTTTTCCAAATTAAGAACTGTCACCACATTAAAACTTCCAGAGCATTCTCTGGGAGTGGTACGCGTGGGGTGGGGGAAAGCCAGGGACGAGGGTATGTATGGGAGGATGGATGTATTTGAACTTGGTGGGTTACAGGGTGTTGGGCTGCTGGCTGTTCGCCAACTCAATAAAGGACATCTTCATGCACCTTTTTCTCCATTCCCCTATCCTACATTTCCCTCCCTTTACTCTCTTGATCTCTGTTTAAATGTAGTGATCTTTTCCTTAATAAAATGGTCCTCTTAAGGTAAACACAGATTGCCCCGTTGTGCTTGAAACCCGCCGGAACACTTGGAAAGGCGCTCCTTCCGCAGTGTTCCCTCCAGCATCTGTGTCCAGCCCGACTACTGTGAAGTGGGAGGCGCTGCTGGAGGTGCACGGGGAAAGTTCCAAGGCACTGGTCCAATTAAACCTTTTATTATATACTAAATATAACTTTAATCCCACCGTATGCATTATTTGTGGACACTGTAAAAAAAAAATTCACCACGGCAAAACCGTGAAATACATATGGCTAACTTTATGCCTGGAGTAACGCAATTATTTACATTCAAAGTTGTAGCGAACTGAGATGTTTAAAACTGCAAATAATTTCAATGAAATTCCAAGGAGTCACAGTTCTATACAATGAGTTTCGAGAAAATATGCAAATGACAGAACACAAAAATCTATTTTCAAACCAACCTGGGGGAACTTATGTGTGTAACTTTTAACGTTCATAATGTTTTCCAGAGCGAATCCGCCACCCTTGCTGTGTGCTGGGAAGCAGAATGTTGTTCCCCCAAAACTTACTGGTGTAAGGGCTTAGTGACCTGATGCACACCTCAGGTGTCCTATTTCTCTTACTGTTTCTGCCACGGCAGTCAAATTAGGAGGGCCTTATAGAACAGTCCTAGTCACTATTCTCAGCGCTGTCTTGATCATTTTTAGAGGACAAAACCAACCGTTCCCAGCCTGTTATAAATCATTTTCTAATTTTAAGGAGAACGGACTTTTCATTTTCATGGAGGAGTCTTTCAAGAGCCATGTGCCCTAACCTGGAAACGTGCCAGCGTGTGAATCTGACCCTGGCTTATGCAATACTGAAAGAGAAGACTCCGTACGTCTCGTGGGGTCCCTTGTCGCCAGTGTCTCAGATGGCTGTTTATGCCTCTGAACTGGTTACTGCAAACTGTGTTAAAAAAAAATCGAGACAATTCTCTTCTTGAAGGAATAACAAACGTGGGGGGAAAAAATCCTTAACGTTTCAAGGAAACTGACGATGTGGTCTTTTTCCTTGTTCTCTCTGTGGAAACTACAGATCTGCGCATTCATATATAATTTATGGAACAAGTAACATCCAGTGTCACTGGTAGGAAAGTTAACACATCTAGAAAAACATCATCCAATTTTTTTAAGGGAAAAAAATTGCCATTTCTTCCCCTGAACAATTAGGAGCTTAAGTTAAGGAAATTTAACTCTAAAAGGGTAATTTTCACCCCTAATTGAAGCAAATTTTATGACATGGATCATCTGGTTCAGTTGCTGGGATGTGAGGTTAAAGCAAAGGGGACACCAGTCACTAGGATACTGGGACAGGTGTCCCCACCTCCCTAACCACGACTCTACTGACAATGCAGAAGAAAAGCGAAGAAATAAAGCAAGGGGATGTATGAATGACACACCATATGACCAGAAGTTTCGATGACAAAGGGGAGCTCCTTCTGCCCCCGTGTTCAGTCTCTCCCGACAATGTCTATGGTGGCAAATGATGGCTTCCACCTCTTAAAGAGCGAAAATCTCTACGAACACATTGTCACTTCTAATATGGAGCCTCAGTCTCTCTTGCTTCACAATTCTAATTTTTTATACTCTAAGTGTAAGTCAGCTAAGGCAGGTGATGATGGGGGGCTTTAATGTACTGAGCTCAAAAACTCTGCTGAATATTTTGGGGCACCGGGGTGGCTCAGTTAAGCGTCCTCCTCTTTTTAAAAAAATTTTTTTTAATGTTTATGAGAGGCAGAGAGTGATCAGGGGAGGGGCAGAGAGAAAAGGAGACACAGAATCACAGAATCCTTAGCAGGCACCAGGCTCCGAGCTGTTAGCACAGATCCTGCTGTGGGGCTCGAACTCACGAGTGGTGAGCTCATGACCTGAGCCGAAGTCGGATGCTTAACCAACAGAGCCACTCAGGTGCCCCAAGCTCGGGTCTTGATCCCATGGTCCATGAGATTGAGCCCTGTGTCCACCTCTGGGCTCTCTCTCTGAAAATACATTAACTTAAAAAAAATTTTTTTTTTAAAAACCATGATGAATATTTAGAAATACAAATAATTTGGACAGCCCCTACCCCCCGCCGCCCCTCCATTCTCAATGCCTGATAAACCATACCGTTGGAACTCCCGGTGGTATGGGGCTGACTCTGGAAGGTTCTAGAGCGGGTGCCGTACTGCCCTGAGAACTGCCCGCTGGAGGGTGGTAACTCATTCCATGCACCACGTGAAGAAGGTTGGAGGCTCTGTGGGGCCTCAGCAGTGGAGTTCAAACGCGGAGGCCAGACCGAATCCAAATCCTGGGGCTCTTCTTTCAATTTTTCTCCTTCCTTGCCGACACGCTGATAGACCCTCCCGGTGCTGTCGTTCAGCAATCTTCTCATTCCTGTAATTTGTTTTTTAATTTCCATGCTTTCGTTTCCTAATGGAAACAGGGTCAAAGAGATCACTGTGCATGAGCAGAAGAAAAAGTAATCCACTACCAAAAAAACCTCCAAAAAAACCCACCCCCCTTCTTTGGAAATGGAATGATTACTGAGTCCAGATGCAAGCTTCTAGAAACTTAAACTATAAAAATTAAGGGCAAGAAAATGGCTCGCACCATTAGCACAGGATGCTCTCCGGTGAGATACGGGCAGTGGAGGCATCACCTTCAGACATGACACTGGAGCCAAGGGAGGAGGGCTTTCTCCGGCCCCGACTCAGGGGAGACACTCTTGGAATTATGCCTCCCTGGATGGACCTGCCCAGACCACTGCCACCTCCACTTTGTAACTCTGTGCACAAGAGAATCCCACCTCATCTACAGTGTTTGTTTGTTAAAAAACACGTAACATAAAATTTACCATCTTAACCATTTTTCAGTGCGCTGTTCAGTTAATGCTGTTCGTGCTGGTGTGTGACAGACCTCCAGAACTGTGCGTGAAGATTCCTTTTCCATAAAGGGATTTTTTTGGGAACTAAGGTATCTCTGTCCTGCACTAGGGGTATTTAATAAATATCATTTAAAGATAACTCTCAAATCATACAGACATAAAATATTTTCTGTAAATAACAACATTACAGGATGGTATTAGGAGCTGTTTGGAATATCTTATCTTCCTAAACTGTGCATCAGCTGGTATCTTCACAAAGAATGAGAAAAGTGGATTTTTTCCCTCTAATCTGGGTGTTAAAAGACTCTCACAGTCACTCAATTAAATGCTTGAAATTTAAACTATGATAAAAAGAAAAGGCTTTTTCTACATAGTGGCTGCCAATAAATACAGACATTTAATATAAATGATGTTTTAATGTACTTAGCATCATATAAGCCAGGTTTCTCTGTAGAATCAGTAACTGCACAATGAATCTAGGTATTTTGTGTTGCCTGGTTAGATATTTACCTAATTGGGGCGCCTCAGTGGCTCAGTGGGTTGGGCATCTGACTTCGGCTCAGGTCATGATCTCACAGCACAGCTTATGGGTTTGAGCCCCACCTTGGGCTCTGTGCTGACAGTTCAGAGCTTGGGGCCTGCTTCGGATTCTGTGTCTCCTTCTCTCTCTGACCCTCCCCTGCTCACAGTCTCTCTCTCTCTCTCAAAAAAAAAAAAAAAACACTAAAAAAAAAGATATTTAGCTAATTAATGTATGGATACATTACTGACTATAAAGAAATTTTTATATACTATTTTGAAATAAGTATCCCCAAGTTTCAAAAAGGTCATAAAAATATTAACTCTGCCTTTGATATCTAACATGGGTGAACACAAAAGTGACACAGATTTCCAAATTTACAATATTGTTATGTGTTGGTATATGCTTCAGAGAGGAGAAATGTTTTCCTTTGTAATAAAACTCTTTTTATATCAAACACCTATGAAAATTACAACAGAGAAACACTAAGTGATACTCCAGATTTTATGGGAATGGATGACTAAGCACAATTTAAATACTGCAGAGCCAGCAAAATTTATGACCTCCTCAGGATGTGCCGGAGCAGGGTGTGTCTGAAAGGGCTACGGGAGGAATTCCGAAGGAAACCTACAGGCAAACTGTCAGTTTCAGCATCCAAACACGCACTTTCCTGGCTAGGGAACAGCACCATCTGGGCAAGAAGCTTCGTTCCTGTGGGGTGTTTAGCCTCCATTTTCTAGAGCAGGGAAGTCGTACACGCATCACAGGCTGCAGCACACTGATCTTAGCTGGCACTGCTGGTGGCTGCCACTCCCCTCCCTCCTGGCATCCCTCCTGCGCCGGCTCGGCCGCTTTCTGCCCGGTTCTCGAGTCCGTGCCAGCTAACTTCTCCACACAGACCCTGACACTTCGAGCAGAAGGCATGCTCTCTTTTCAAAGGTTCCACCTCTGGTCTGGCGACAGAGCTCTGTGATGATAAAGTACTGTCTTTAGGGGAAGAAAGCCAGTCACAGGATTCTGGAACTTTCTAAAAGCAAATCTGCTTTGTTGCAACCTTAGTGTCTGGATTCTGAAAATTACCAGAATCAACACACGATTTGAGTTTCACACGTGTTCTATGCTTGTGTGGAGGACCAGAAGCTTCTGCTTCAGGGTGAGTCCAAGCAAAGAGGTGAGAGTTTAAAGGGGACCTCTGGTTGTGGGCTGTCCCAGCCACATTTAGAAACATGTCTTCCAAAGTCAAAACAAAGCCCGACCAAATGACAAATCAGGAGCCGGCAGGGCCTGAGGAGGAAATCGGGGTGCTGCGAAGGAGGCCAAGGCAGACCCGACTGACCTCACACAGGGCACGCTGCACGGTGTCCCTCTAAAGGACTGAAGACAGACAGGTGCAGAGGTGAGAGCTGCAGAAGTCAATGAGAGGAGAGTGGAAAGACTGAGGAGGGTGGAGGAAGGGCTGACCTAAGAAGCTTCCAGAGGACACAGGCTGGGCATCCCTGGAGGACAACATATGTACGCGAACGGTCTCAGGGTAACCGCTGGGAATTGTCTTTCCTCTGGCCAATGAAGCAGGGAGCAGCCTTAACCATCCTGCCTCGGGAAGAAGTCCTGGAGCCTCAATGCACCTGAAGGCGACAATGGGCTTCAACAAAGAGAGGGGGAAACGCTGCTTTGCACGGTGGGGGCAGATGGAGCAGAGGGTCAGAAGAGAGACCTGAAGACCAAATGCAGGGCTGGGGAAAGAAGCAGGTGGGCCCGACACAGACTGGGACGGAGCGGGTGCCCCACACAGGCAGAAGGGAGGAGCTGGCGGAGGCTCAGGCAGCAGGTGCTCGTGTGGTCCAGTGGACAGGCCCGGGCTGGACTCCTTCTCAGCTGCACTAACCTGCTGCTTGATACGAGACAAGTCACCTCTGACCCCCAGACTTCGGCTTCCTGAATCACAAAACGAAGGTCTGAACGGGCATGTGCAGTAGTGGCCGAGGATTGATGTGGGATGTTCACAGAGTACCTGATGCCTCTAAAATCACAAGTACCCTTCTCGGTTCTGAGTTTCTTCTGTCCTCCCAGTGGGGGCCCCTGGTTTTTGTTGTTTTTTTTTTTAATTGAGGGGGTGCAGTTCTTTGACTTAAAGAGAAATGGTGGGAAGTGTAGAAGATTGAGGATGGAAGTGTTACTTGACGTCGGGATCAGAAAGCCTCAGGAGCCACGGGCTAGCTCCAGAAGCATGATTCTATGAGGAAAGGGGTGCAATTTCCAGATTTCTTTCCAAATCTATCTCTTTACTTACACTCAACTCCAAGACATTGAATCTTTTTAGGAAAGACAAACAAAAAGAAATCTTACTAAAAGGTAAAACAACCTTAATTGCAATCCTTTTGAGACTTTGGACAGGTCTAAAACTGCAGGCTGAATTCTATCTTTGGCTAAATTCTAAGACTCTACCACATCACTTTTCTTTACATAAAGAACACATACAGATGTGTAATAATAATTATACATACACTGATTATGCATAATAGTACATATGGAGTAAGTTATCATACATGATCTCTCTTAACTTGGCCAGAAGGATACACAACACAGACCATGAATATTCATGGTCTGGGATGATAAAAGAAAAAGATGGTAATGTACAAACATACAGCGAGAGACTGTACATGAACATCTCAGGTCTATCTAGAAATGAGTTACTATGGAGAGTCATGAAACAGTCATCATATCTTTCCCCTACAAATGTATCGGTGTTGATGTATAGTAGGTATTCCCTAAAACTTTCTTTTTTTAAAGCTTATTTATTATGAAAGAGAGTAAGCAGTGTAGAGGAGGAGGAGACAGAGAGAGAGAGAGAGAGAGAGCGCGCGCGAGAGAATCCTAAGCCGGCTCCAAGCTGTCAGTGCAGAACCTTATGTGGGGCTCATTCTCACAAACCATGAGATCATGACCTGAGCCAAGATCAAGAGTAGGACACTCAACCAACTAAGCCACCCGGGTGTCCCTTCATAAAACTTTCTTAAGTGAATGCAAGAAATGGCTTATCGAAACCAGAATGAATCCAGTAGAATTAAATGTAATACTAAAGTTATAAGTAAGCAAAAAATTTATAGAGTAGAGTGAAAAAGTAGAATAAAATTGCTCAACAAGCATTTAGCAAGCACCTTTCGGGCACAAGAAATATAAAGATCATCTGGTACAAATTCAAAGGTAGCCTCTGTCCAAATCTCTCAACATTTTTAACCCAAATCCCTTTATATTGATTGGTTGTTCTGAAACCTGGTCCTGACTTTTCCTAGACTCTTGGCTGACTCCGAACTCTGTTAACCGTGTGCCCCAGGATGTCAGGGTGCCAAGTGTCCTACTGTATGATGACTGCTTCCTCCTATAGCTAAAGACCCTCCCTGAGGGTCCCGCTTTCCCTATAGTCCCTGCATGAAAGATATTCATCCCCCATTCCCTTGGGGCTGGGAATTGTGTCCCCCCAAAATGCCACACTTCTGGCCCCAGGAGAAAGTTCGCTGTTGTTTGAGTTGAAGTCACAGGGCTATAGCATCTTCCCCCTTCTTCCTGAAAAGCAGTTCTGTGTGCCAGGAGTTCAAGCTCTCTGTGGGGAAGGGCGGGATGGGGCTGAAATGGACAGGGAGGTCATCTCGTTACGGACCATACATGACAGGTGAAGGAAGAATAATGTTACATTGAAGATACTGGGCTATCTGGGTAATTAAAAAAAATTTTTTTTTAATATTTTATTTACTTCTGAGAGAGAGGCAGTGTGAGCAGGGGAGGGTCAGAGAGAGAGGGAGATACAGAATCTGAAGCAAGCTCTAGGCTCTGAGCTAGCTGTCAGCACAGAGCCCGACACAGGGCTCGAACCCACGAACTGCGAGATCATGACCTGAGCCGAAGTCAGGTGCCCAGGCACCCCTATCACTCTGGGTAATTTTAGGTTCATTATCTCTTTCAACAGAAGGCTGGTAAATAATGAGACCTATCCTTTAGAAAAACAATTTTGGCAAAACTATGGTGAGC